GTAGCAGAAGGGCCAAAATACCCAACTTTTTTATTGCTCCATCTTACAGAGGAGGTTGAATACTACAGGAAGTCACTTTGATACGCCCTGTTCAAGGTGTGCTACATCTCGAAAAATGGTGGTCAAAACGCTCGAAAAATGGTGGTCAAAACGCTCGAAAACGCTTGGTTTTAGCCAAATTGACGATTTTCCGGTTTTCGTCAGCCTGTAGCGTGAAATCTACGTTCGGTCCCACATGTTTCACCCCTCTTATTCGAAAGATATAGTAACTAACTTTCAATTCCAGCCCTGATAAGGTCAAAAAATTATGGGGAAGTACCTCATCTAAGCTCGCCAAAACGCATGATTTTAGAACGAAGTGTTGCGTTTTGGGCTATAAGCACTTTAGAAACGCCAATTTCGGAGGCCGGAATCGGATTCCTGATATCATTTTACGTCCCGGGACATGTCCGATCGCCTCCTAGAGCGTCCTGGCTCCGACAACAGACATTTATACGAAATTTCAGTGAACACCCTTTAAAAAACTTCAAATGCCCATAGCTTTTGGACCGTTCGAGCTACAGAGCTCCAAAAAAATCAGGAAAATCTATCTTAATAGGGACTATTTTTAGGGCAAAAAAATCATTTTTCCCAAGGGGTCACTTTTATTTTAATAAATCTAGTTTGGAATGCCCCAGCAGTGTTGCGGGTTTGCCTACTCTTTACACCCATAAGGGCCATGGCCTCTGCGGCCATATTGAGTATGCAGTCCACAACACTGCTGCGTACTCACAGTTAAACTATACTCTCGTAGAGTTCGCCAGTTAAAGCAGCAGCCTGGTTGTAACGCCGTAGCTGTATCCCATTCTATTCAGGCGTGCCCCCCTGCGACCGCGTCGTTATAACCTTTTTTGAAGTTGAAGAAGGGTGCGCCGCACCCGCACCCCGTACACGGCGCTGTGGTCGCGCCTAGGCGTGGGCATGCCAGCGCGCCGAACGCACCTCCTCGCTACTGCACTCGCCTGCCACGCCAGACTCTGCTCTCTGACAACGAGAGACTCGAGAGACCCCGGCGCCAGCCATTACATTTGTTTGATTGATTTGCGTTCTAGTCTTTGAGCGGGAGAATGTCTTGGTTTGTAAGTATGATACTACAGTTAAAGTTGCGAAACAAATTACGTTAATAACCTTGAGAGATACGAAGGCCGTCCTAACCTGCGACTGGCCTGAACCCTCCCGGGCGCGCCAGAGGGCCTCTGTTATAAACCAAATACAGACATATTTCGGCTGGAATGGTTCTTTTCGATTGTGTTTCAGTATCGTGAAATATGCTGGTTATGCGTACTATTCAACTTGTTAACACACGTAACATGGGGCCCGTTAAGGGCCGGCATGGCGCGGTTCACTTGACGGCTTGTTTAGTCGTATGATTTTATAACGTAGAGGCCCCTTTCATGAGTTGTATTTAATGAAGCATTCCCGTGTGCTCTTGCTGCCCGTCTCACTCGCACCAACTCGCCGTGCCGTGCGGCGGGCCGCGGTGGGCCTAGATCGTTCAAGAGGGGCGCTCCTATACCTCCCGTATAGCTCCGCCCTTGTTGCACTAATGGGGTAGGTGAGAGGCCCTCTTGAACGATCTTCTGAATCAGTCGGCTGAGGCTGAAGTGCCCGGAGGTGCCCGTCGTTTGGCGTGGTCGCTGAGAGGTTACCCCGCCCTACGCAGGTCTCAGCAAGGCGATTCTGCATAGCGTTTTCTCGTGACCCGTCTCTCTCCCACCAAGTGACGCTGTCTTGTGAGTGCGACGCGACAAGGACGAAAGTACAAAAGCGCTGTGCGGGATCGTCCTGTTGGTGCTGGCGCTGCAAGAGGGATTGACGCGCGCGTCGATTTCCCGCGTACTTTCCTAGTTATACTGCACCGCATGTTTACATGCGGACTTGTTGCCTATATCCGCACTGCCATAACCAGCAAGGATATAGGATATGAAAAGCCACACGCACTTATGCATGCGGTATAGTGCAGGCATGCTTCAGTTGGTTCAATTTGGTTCCGTAACATCAGGGCGGGACGGAACCAGTTGGGTTGCGCGAGGGTCACGAGGTCAGCGGTGCCGCGCGGGTTGCCGGCGACGTCACGTGCCGGCCCACTTCTCAAACCGAACCCTTGTTGCTGACGCTCGCTCGCGCCCTCCTCCAAGCTCCAGGATCCCGCCCTCGCTGCCCGCTGCCGCCGCCGTCTCCTTCGTGGCCCCCGAAGTCCAACCGAACGTCCGGGGTATTACCTCTGGTCCGCTGGGGCTGGGGGGCCGAAAGTCACCCCGCCGCCCGCACGCCCCTAGGCAAGGAGGCGGGGGGGGTGCGGGGGATCGGCGGATTCCGGCAGGGGCGCGCTGCATTCGTGCGGGGAACCGTCTGTCGCCCTGCTCGTCCGCTCGGTGTTGTCCGGGACTCGGAGGCGGTCGCCAGCTCAGTCAGGCGTCAGGGCGGTCAGCTCCGGGGTGCCAGGCAGGTGGCCCGCGTGGAATCGGCCGGGCGGGGCGTGGCGCAGCAGCTGGTGGTGCCCGCCGAGGCCATGACGTGATCGCCATCCTGGTGGGTCCGCCGAAGTCCACCGCGGGGCGAACCGGGGGGCTGTGAGGGCGGCGGATGGGGGCAAGCCACCGGGGATCATCTTCCTGGTGTCTTCAAAGGTTGGTGGGTGCGGGCCCCGGCTAACTCAACGGCGTTCAATGTCCACGCCAGGTCCGACCTCACGACCTGTTCCAGGAGCTTGTGGTCCGCCGCCCTGCTGGCGCGTCGCATGGTGGTCGCCGCCTTTCTCTTCATGTCCAGAGCGCCGTACTAGAGATCCTGGATGGTCTCCGCTGGATACTCCTCCTCGATTGCCTCGGCGTGGAGTTCGTGGGCGGCCTTACTCTTCATTATGGCTTCAGTGCATTCCGCGTACCAGTCCGGCTGCTCACCCTTCTTCGCCATTCCCGCCGTTGTGATGGCGGCCTTCAGGTGGGCCTAGAGGTCCGTGGGGTGGGCGTTGGCAGAGGGCGGGTTAACAGCCAGGACCTCCTTCTCCTTCTTGTAGTATTCTTCTTCCTTCTCCTGGAGCGCCGCTACGTTGAACTGCTTTTCGACCTTGGTGGTGGGGACGCGTGGCGCTCTTGTGCGGGTTCGCGGAGATCACCGTCAACAGCAGCTCGTGGTCGGTGCTGAAGAGTGCCTCTGGCGGTGACGTCACGTTGTTCACCAGGGCACTGGAACGGCGCGGAACCAACATAGCTGAGGGAGGGGGGGGGGGTGCATTTGAGCAAGCCTGCCCGTCGCCGGGC